AGATTCTGCCTACACTTAATGGCCTGACTTGGGATATTCTTTCCCGAACCAAAAAAATGGAATGCGCAAGTATGAAAGATGAGATTGCAATAATTTCAGCTGCATTCCCATCAAATTTATTCAATGGAATCCACATACAAGCATGATTATTTACAATAGTATCTCAAATACTCCGAAATAAGTTCTTGTGCAAAGGATTCAGTTATCACAATATTCCACACAATTTTAACACCAAACCTACTCTTTCCCCACCTCACTTCCTTCATGTTACTTGAAAACTTGTTTTCCAAAGCTCGGTATACAGCTAACAAAGTACATTACTCGTCCTTTTTCTCAGCATCGGTAGCTGATGTCTCCACAGTCTCTGCTGCAGGCTCCTCTGATGGGATGTCTTCCGCCTGCCTTGGAGCTTTAGTTGCTTCGGTGGTTTCACTAGGAATGGATCCGTCAGTTACTGGAACATCCTTCGTCTTAATAGTTCCGACCTTCACATATTTACTCATGAACTTGTATTCCCAATCCTGTAATGCATCTAGCTCGAAAGGACCAAGGCCAGAAATATCCCCTGTCAAATCACTTTCTTCAAATGACATCTTGGCTAGAGCTCTGCTAGCGTCCTTACCAGCAAACAATGCATAGGGCCCACCTGGACCATAGAACATCCTGAAACAATACTTCAAATGTCAGCACACAGAATAGGTTTCATAACACCACTGTTACTCTGTATTTCACTATGCAATGGAACTGTCAGGATGCCAATTTGCCTATACAGTAAGAAGATTTTTTGTAGGAATTGACAACTCCCTCATTCAAACGAAAAACAAATACAAATTACACAATGAACACAGGCTAAATTAAACGATGAACAAGATGGCATTTGAGCATCAAAGTGGATATAGAAACACAAGGTTTGCAAAAAAATAAGACAGTGGACACTGGACAGCAAGGTGATAATAAATCAAAATAAGACTAGACAAACCAAGCAAGTAAGCATCAAAGTAAAGTAGAGCTACTACTAGTGGTAGATCTGTAATTTACACGTTTTTTATGATCCAAATTGTATTATTAGGTCTACAAACTCAAGTTGCACAGATGCATGGTTAGGAAAACGAAAAGTTGGAAATAAGCAACACAGGAAGTTCGAATTTATTTTTTAATAATACAACAGGTGTATTATCAGAAGGCCTACAAACTCCAGTTGCACAGATGCATGGTTGGGAAATAAAAAGTTGGAAACAAGCAACATGGGAAGTTAGATTTTTTGTTTTCCTTCCAAAGAGTTCTCCAAAAGAAATTAGTTGAATTAAAATTCGTGGTGCCAGGTTCTTTCAAAATAAAAAATTAAAATTAAAAAAAAATGTGGTGACAGGGGTATACAAGTTTCCTTTTAGCATAAGGAGGGGCGTTAACTTTCAACAGTCTAGAGACCAAATGACTATCAGAGAGCTTAACAAACCTTCAACTTCCTATACAACAATAATGGTCTAGTCATAGAATGCTATAAAGACAAATTGACAATTTAGCAGAATTAATTCCAGTGACAAACAAAGCAGTTGAAAAGTGGAATACAGATGAGAATTTAAAGTGATTATAATTTGAAGTGTATTGGTTCAACCAATTATAACAAAGTCCAATGATGGTGGCGGGTGGAGTGTGTATGGTGTGGGGATGGAGGGGGGAGGAGGGTACATGCAACTTACCCTACCATTCAAACAAGAAGGCAGGCTATTTCAGAACCAAATTGGACAACATGACCCATCACTATAGCCACCCATTACTACACACGCCGCTTAAATTAATGTTCAAATCTTATTCTACTTTCTGATTTACTCAGAGCACATAATATGTCATTATCATTATTGTAGCTCTAAAATAAAGAAGGACGAGAACTTAAACCCATCACACTTTCTGTAAGTTATTTGATTGACACAAATACCAAATCCTCCATAACTGAGATGCCAAATAACCAAATAATGAGAAACATCAATAGGATGACTGATGAGCCGCACAATTGAACAATCCAAGACTACTTCAATCCTGCTTCCACCAGATACTCTTCCAGTGCATATTATACTCCAAAACAGAAACATATCCACCATAGCAATCAAAGGCAGGATAGGAACAACAAAGTGAAAATCAACTAAATAAAGCCATACTTTTACATTTTAAAATTCACTTGCCATTGTCATTTGTCAATCAAACCTCCATAGTCATTGCAAACACTGATTAGCACCCTCTCCTAAAGTCATACACAACCGACTAGTCGAGGATTATACTCACAACTCAAAAGACATACCCACATACTCACATACAAATAATTAGCACAAACAGCATGCTGAAAACAATCCTTATTACACTCCCCAGCCTACAAATGCCAAACCCCCAAATCCTATAAACTGCAAGCTTAAGCTTTATACCATAAAAATACAAATCCAACACCATAATCTAATCAAAAACATGCAAAACAACGATGCTAAAACACAAATAAATCCTAAATAATCTCAATTAGCATCAATAGAAAATTCAGTCAAAGATACACCCAAATAATGAGATAAAAGCCTTATCAAAGTTCAAAACTTTAATTAACCAAAAACATATACCTTTAACAAAAGCAACTAAAACCCTAAAATCTTCCAAATTAAATAAATCAAACAAATCCCCCAATAATTAAATTGAACCAATAATATAATTACAAAATCCAAACCCCAGAAAATTCAACAACCCAAACACATGAATAATTGTATACAACCAATTATACAATAACAAAATCCAAACCCCAGAAAAATTCAATTACCCCAACACATGAATAATGATGTACCAACAAAGAAAATTAAAAAAAAAATACGAAAAAAATAGAGAATTAGAAGCAAACCTGCTCTGAGAAACATCATAGATCTGACCCTTAATAGCCATAAGCAAAGGCTTCTTAGGATCAGTACCATCATACTGCTTCAATTCATCTTCATTAATCTCACCAAGTTGAACAGGAGGAGGCAAAGGCTCCATCTCTTCTTCCATAGACCTATGACGTTGATGCTGAGGAGTTGATGATCCAAACAACCCAGAAATCATATGGTAGAAAGCCAAACTAACTGCAATTACAGTGAAGAAAGTTGCAGGAGATAATCCTGTGTATGCTGTGATTGATTCTTTCAGTGTTTCCCATAATGCTAACGCCATTTTTGATGTGGGTTTTAGATGGAGGAGTTGTTGAGAGGTTTTTGTTGAAGGGGGTGGTTTTTTGTGCTTGAATTTAACTTTGAATGTTCAATTTCGCCCTCTTTGGCTGACCTATGAAGGAGGAGAGAGAAACTAAAGGGAAATTTCGAGATTTGGAAAGGGAGTGATAATATTTGATTGGGATGAGAAATTTTTCAGGAAAAGGTAGATAGATTTTTGGTACTTGGGCTATTTTCACATTTTTCTATGTTCTATTCTTTTCATTTTTTTTTAATTTTTTTTAATGGTAACCGGTGGAGAGAGGTGTCAAAATATGATCGGACGACTGGCTGATCCAATCCGAAACTGATCTGAAAAATATTCGATTTAAATTTCAGCTTGCGTCCAATGCATGGGCATGAGCATGAGTACGATGTTATAGGAATTTTTTTTAGATAAGCGAGGTTTGTGAATAGGGATGTCAACAGGGCGGGGTGGGGCTGGGCGGATGTTGGATTTCCCATTCTCATTCTCATCCCCATCCTCGCCTAACATTCTCATCTCCATCCCCATCCCTGCGGCGGGTCCAAAATTAATCTTCATCCCCACCCCAACGGGTACAATTCCAAAACTATCCATGCGCCCACACCCACTTGGATATCCACCTCCACCTAATCTCCACCCAAAACCCACCTAATCCCCGCCTCCCAAATACAAACAATATATTACGTAATATACTAATATAGATTACAATAATAATAAAAAATAAAAAAAAAATATTGTTAATATTAAGTTTATTACAACATATTATATTTAGTTATTTAATACTTTATATTACATAAATTTTTTAAATATAAAATAATATAAAAGTATACAATTTTATTTTTAAAAAATATATAGATGTTGGTATGGGGTGGAGATGGGGTGGGTACGAAGTGGGGCGGGGCGAGGATGGGGCGGGTACAACCTAAAATCCACCCCTGCCCCATCACCCATGACGGGAATGGTTTTCATCCCCATCCCCGCCCCACCACCCACCAAATCGGGACCCATTCTCGCCCCATTGACATCCCTATTTGTGAAAGTTGAAGAGAAACTATTCTCATGGTCTAAATTTAATCAAGTTTAATACTCTTTACCAAATTTAGGCCCTGTATAGTTCACCTTATTTTTGCTTATCTGATCTGGTCTGGTCTAATTTGATTTAATATGATCTTATTGTCTGATTTGACCAAACTTTGACCTTAAGTGTACGATAATCTGTAAGAAAAAATATATCAAGTGAGATCTTGTTAGATTTGTAATAATGTGTATTTTATTAATATGTAATTTTCATAATTTTTTTCATTACAAAATTAAAGATATTTAGTGATAAAAATTGCACATAAAACAATGATCTAATCTGAACTTATTTTTTTCTAATTTGATATGATCTAAACTTATTTTTTTTAAAATAAGTAAATATAAGTTGAACTAAATAGGACCTTAATCAAACTCATACATATTTATAAAATCAAACATCACTTTATTAGTCCTTTTATACAATAAAGTTGCTAATTAGCTATCATCCAACAACTTTAATTTATTCAATTATTTATTTTTTTATTTTTGATAAAAGCTAACAACTACTTAACTTTTACACAAACAACTAACACAAGTCAATAATCAAATTCCATAGTCAAATTAGCTCACACAACACAGTGAACTTCTAGTAGCTGATTTCTAATTGTCAAACGGAGCAATTGAGTAATGCCATGTGATTGGACAATGACTAGTCTCATAGTCTCAACATAACCCACTAACTAATGAGTAACAACTAATCTTGAGTGGTGCTGCTTTCTTTTCAATGAAATCATACCCGATAATTCAGACTCTAGTAGACTCTGAGTAATCTGAATTTGAGTCGAACCATACCTTAATCGAGGAAAAGCTCTCCCAACAAATGTTCCTACGATTTCAAATATATCAAATCTGAGACATTAGTTAAGTTAAAAATTAAAACGCTTCCTCATCGATTGATCTAATCACTTGTTGGTAATCAAGCCGCGACGCCGTGTTGCCAATTTTTAATTTGTAAGAGTAAGAGGATTAAAAAGCATATGATGTCAAGGTAAACAAATAGAGTGGACGTAATTTTCTTTATGAAACACTTTGTTCTCCTTCCCTCCATCTCTCTTCTCAGAAAGATAAAATGAACCAAGGAATCCTACAATGGAATCCCTCTTCACCAAACCCATTTTCTCTCTCCTCTTCCTTTCCCTCATCAATCCAATTCATCCCCAAATTCAAACGCCTCAATCTAATCTCAGCAACCCTGAATTCCCTTGAAGAAGAACAAAAATTACCCGCAAAAGAGAGAAGAAAGCTCAGGAATGAGAGGAGAGAAAGTAAAGCTTTTGATTGGAAAGAGGAAGTTGAGATGAGGCTTATTAAGAAGCCTAAGAAGAGATATGCCTCTTGGACTGAAGAACTTAATCTTGATACTTTGGCCCAATTGGGCCCTCAATGGTGGGTCGCTCGGGTTGCTCGGGTCAATGGTCATGAAACTGCTGAAAAGCTTGCTCGTTCTCTTGCTAATAATTACCCTGACATTGATTTTAAGGTAATTTTGGGATGAAATTTGAGATTTTTCCGAGTTTTTGGCTTATGGGTTTGTGATGATTTTAAGTTTTTGTTTTTGTTGTTGTTGTTGTTTGTTGTCACAAACCCTCTGTCTTTTTCTTGTTGCAATTCTCTGCAAATGCAATTTTTTTTGGTGATGTGTTTGTTATATAACTTATAAGTTATAGTGCTGTTTTATGGCAAATGTTTGTTGGTTATTTAAGGACATTCCTGTGTAATAAGGCTATGTGTTTTTTTTTTTTTTTTTTTTTTTTTTTTTTTTTTTTTGAGGGAAATAAGGTTATGTGGTTAAGGGAAAGAAATATGAGGTTTTCTTTAGATGAGGATGCTTATCTAATGAAGTGGTCAATCAAGAACATACTTGTAGGTCAATTGAGTGATCGAATTCGAGTTATTTTGGGATTGAACAATAGCAATTTGTGACTTGAGGTGTGGACATTATGCTTGGTTGTGAAGTGCAATTTACTCATGGAGTCATGGTGCATCATTGTGGATTCTTCAATTACTTCCTCCGTCCAAAAATAGTAGTCATGGTTTTAGATATATTGTGAAAAATCCTTAATATAAGAGCATAGCCAGCAGTTAACCATTAAGGGTGGTTATTAGGAGAGAGAATGTGGAAGAGGAAGATTGTGTGGTGGGGTTGGGTAAAAGTAGGAAAAAGAAAATGTATAACCAAAAATTCGTTGTCAACCATTTGGATTTGTGTAACATGAAACTAATCTAGAAGTGACCGTTCTTTCTGTTTAAATGAACAGCATGCTTTTGTAAGAACTGAACTAGGATACTTGATGTCGATTTTGTTACTGCAAAGTACATTGAAGAGTGAAGTATATCTGTAGACCATATTCACTTTTTAAACAATTCTTACTATTATTTCAGCTTTATATGCCTGCAGTACAAGTGAAAAGAAAGTTGAAGAATGGTACTCACTCCATCAAGCCAAAACCGCTATTTCCTGGATGTGTCTTTTTGAAGTGTGTGATGAACAAAGAGATACATGACTTCATAAGAGAATATGATGGCATAGGAGGATTTGTTGGATCCAAGGTTGGAAACACGTAAGCTATTATTAACTCCTTTTCCTGCTTTGTTTGCAATAATTAAAATTTTCACTGGTTTGACGCCAGTGGTGATGCTGGTGCTCTTTTTTTTTTTTTTTATTTCTGGGACATTGGTTTTGATGTTTGTTGGCTTCTCAAAACATGGATGAATGAATAGTATGTCCCAATTGCATGGAGATCAGTAAGGCTTTTTTTTTGAGTTCATATGGTTGTGTTGTGAAAAGGGTTGGCCATTAGGGTGAAAGTGATTTATATGAGAGATGAGGCTATTTAAAGAAGTATACTATAAGTGTTTGCCTTTTTGTTTCCAGCATTTATAATCACTTATCAACCATCTAAGCTGTGTGTCACCAAAGTTAATGAAGGCATGAAGAGAAGTATTACCATTATGATTTTTGTGTTGAAAATCTTGGAAAAAAAGCTAAACAATAGCAATACATACTACTAACCATGTCATATGTAACAACTATTATCCAACTTTTGCTTTGGTTAGCCATATACTTGAATTTGCGTCTGTGAACAATGGTAGGTTTATTCACAATTAGAATAACTTATAAATAAAATGCATGCTGTAAGTGGTGTTATTAGTATTTGTGTTGTAGAATTTTAAGGTTGTAGAATTTGATCAGTTAAATGCTGCATGTGGCATGTTATCATGTCATACCGTCCATTGAACCAGTTTGATTCTGCTCTAATTAGAGAGAAACTTCCTCATGACAAAAATTGGTATCAGTACATGACTCAACTGGCCTTGGATTCAGGATTACAACTTTGCTATTATTTCCTAATCCAAAGTATAACTTTGAATCTTCTATGCTGTATTGTACCTGAGGCAAACCTTTAAGGCTTTGACTTTGCTATGTTCTGTCCATTTCTTTTTCTCCAGACATGTATCGCTCCTCAGTAAACAAGTTGCACTTCTAGGCTCAATTCGGCAGCATTAACTCGCTTTTCTTGAACCACTTCTTTATAAGTTGTAGGCTTGTAGCTGTTGACTTTAACAGTCTATTTGGTAGATGGTTATAAATGACAGTAGTGGTATTGTAGTTATGTGTAATGTTGCATGGAAAGACACATGCCAATGTCCATATTAACATTGTTCATATTCTTGTACTTCCTCCGTTCTTTTTTGCTTGACCCGCTTTGACTTTTACACTATTCACCATCCTTCCTTTGACCGTGTTTTGTGAATAATATGCAAGGAAAAATATATTCATGCGGGATCTTGTTAGAATCGTCTCAATAAGTACTATCACAATATTTAACTTTTATAATTTTTACTTATAGAGAAATAAAGTTATTGATGGTTAAAGTTGTGCATCGACAAACGTGATAAAAGAAACAGGTCAAGTAAAAAAGAACAGAGGAAGTATTTGTTTTCCTTTCGTAGATTTCCATTCTCAACCAATGACACACCTGAAATGGTTATTACTGTTATGAGTGGTAATAAAATTTAAGAAAATACATATCTTAAAGTAAAGTTGCGTTACAATGGACACATACATACTGTTTTTTTCCTTAAAATATACCGCCATCAGCACCATGTATACTGCCTAGTGCCTACAAACGGGCCATGAATGGCTAGTTATTAACACTAATAATTTTTATCTGGGATGATGCATGAAGTGGAACATTTATATGCTTTTTACATGAAGCAAGTGATTTTAGGTAATTTGATCATATTTTTCTTGCTGAGTGTGAGGGAAACCTCGTTTGTTTTTTTTGTGGCCAGGTCATTCCTGGGTACATTTCCAGACATCAGTGGAGTTAAATCTGTTATGCCGTGTTTTCAGGAAACGACAAATAAACAAGCCCAGACCAGTGTCTGAAGATGACATGGAAAAAATATTTAGACAAGCAAAAGAGGAGCAGGAGAAAGCTGATCAAGCCTTTGAAGATAGTCAGAAACCAGTACTTAGCTCTGAAGTGCCTCAGCTTGAGTCTGAGTCTGGTTCTTTGGAAACACTCATTGATTCAAGTCCAAAAAGACGAACCACAAAGACTGCAGAGTCTACTCCAAAAGGAAAAAAGAAAAAGATTCCGAAAATTGGTTCAACTGTTAGAGTCGTTTCTGGATCCTTTGCAGAGTTTTCAGGCATCCTCAAGAAGGTGGACAAAAAGAATGAGAGGGTATGGTTCCTTTTTTTTTATTTTTAAATCCAGAAACTAATAAAGCTTAGTTAGGCTACCCAAATGGGCAGAGGGTATGGTATTTCCACTGCAGTAATAATTTGGGTGTGCAAAACTTTATTCATGATCTCTTCAACTTAAATCTAAAAGAAATATTGGAAATATCTATGTTTGACAACAAAATAAGTTTTAATAGGGCTGCTTTACCTGCTTATAAGTTATAAGTGCGTTTTTCATTATCCTTAATGCCTTTAATGGACCTTTGATTTATTAAGCGCCTGATCTTTTGTAGGTGACTGTCGGATTCACGCTATTTGGCAAGGAGACCATAGCTGACTTAGATTTCAAAGAAATCGCAGAAGAGGCAGTGTAACACCCTTTCTAATGTGATTGGTATATGGTTTGTAACCTTGTGTATTATTTTCTCTTGTAAAAGTAAATATAGATGAATGAATGTAGATTACAAGAGAATGTGTATCACGAGTACATATATTTCCTGGAAGTACAAGCTATGCAATTATCCTCTTGATCCTGAATTTCTGATTATTGCAGCTTAAACAGAATTTGACAATGTCTTGCCTGCAGGACTTCTGAAAGATTAGATTCATTAGAAAGAGATTTTTGCAGGACAGGAGTTGATGTGCTAAATTCCAAAACCAAAGAAATAAAATACACAAAGTTGCATACCTACTGAACTTACAAGTATTATAGAAAAAATAAAAAATAAAAAAAATCGCCAAATGAGTCAAAATTTAATGCCTAACAAAACTAGAACTTAAGAAGTTAATATCAATTTTTAAACCCAACAAGTGAACAAGTTATTTACCATGCCTTAAAATACAAAAGTTTATACGAAATACTTCGTATATTGTAATCCAAGTTCTTATTAGTGGTTACCTGATTTATTCTTAGGAAATAAGCTTAGTTAGGCTACCCAAATGGGCAGAGGGTATGGTATTTCCACTGCAGTAATAATTTGGGTGTGCAAAACTATATTCACGATCTCTTCAACTTAAATCTAAAAGAAATATTGGAAATATCTATGTTTGACAACAAAATAAGTTTTAATAGGGTTGCTTTACCTGCTTATAAGTTATAAGTGCGTTTTTCATTATCCTTAATGCCTTTAATGGACCTTTGATTTATTAAGCGCCTGATCTTTTGTAGGTGACTGTCGGATTTCATAGCAAATAATAGGCAATTAAAATGTTAATTGATTTTCTAAGACTCCATCAAAGACCCATAAAGAAAAAGTTTTGTTTTAAGGTTTTTGTAATAAAATCACTCAAACTCACTTGCAAAGTAATGCAAGTCTCAATCTTAAAAATGAAATTGTGAACCGGACGGTTCAGTAAATTTTCCGGTTTATATAAAAAAATAAAAAACCGGAAACAAATCAAACCCACCACTCTCAACGTCACATTTTTATGTTTCAAAAATCAAAATTGCAGCTTTCCTCATTTCTTGCTTTCCGTCTCCAATTTTCTTCATCTTTTTCTCTCCTCTACTCCATTTCGTCTTCACTAAGCACAATTTACTTACTGTAGCGGAAAGCGGAAATGGGTGTCACTAAATTGTGGGATATCTTGGAATCCTGCAAGAAAACTTTACCGCTTCACCATCTTCAGTAAGTTTTTGCATACATTCCAGATTTTCATCTCTCTTTTAATTTCTTTGTGCCAAATTCTCGAACCCATTTGTATTTTCTTCCTAATTTTTAATTTTGTTTGTTATTTATCCATTTTTATGAGTTTATGTTTTAATTGTATCATTGCTAGTTTAAATTACATTATCAATGTCACTACTATTAATTTCGGACACTGCGGAAATATTGTTGTATAATTCTAAACTCTAAAGATAATTTCTTTTTCAGGGATTGTGACCAATTTTTATTTGATTGGTGTTCAATTGGGTTAACTTCACTTCAAATTTTGTATTGCTAAAAATTTGAGGTCTTTTTTTTTTATTTAATTGGGTTAATTTTATTCTTCATTTGGGTTCAGATTTACTAGTTATATGTTTGTTATTTGATGATGAATTAATAAGTTTTAATTAATTTGTGAGTAAAGTATTTATGTGATTCTTGAAAATTGGGGGTTGCAGGAATAAGAGGGTGTGCATAGATCTGTCATGTTGGATGGTGCAGCTGCAGAGTGTGAATAGGTCACACTGTGCTATGAAAGAGAAGGTTTACCTCAGAGGTCTTTTTCACAGATTGAGAGCTCTCATTTCTTTGAATTGCAGTGTTATCTTTGTTACTGGTATGCCCTCTTTATCCTTGTATACTTTTCGCCGATTCGGGTTTGTTGCCTTTCTATGCATGCTTTCATTGTGGATGGAATGATAGGCTTAGTGATTTTGTATTGAGTTTGTTACAAATTCTTGTAAAAGACAGTCTAATGGTCTGGTGTCAGTTGAACTATTTACTATTGAAGTTACACAACTTAATTAGGTAAAATGTTAGTCCTTTAGTGATCAATGAAGTTCCTAAAAGAAAAAAGGTTACAACAAAATCGTTTAAAGTTGAGCAAAAATATGTATACCGTAACAAGTTAGCTGGTCTGATGAGAAATGTTTATTTAGATGGTTTAGAATACTGAGACTACTTATGTGATTGTTGATTTTGTGCGTTTGTGTGAAAATGAGACCTTTTTCGTCTTTGTATTGTATGACTTACATAAATTTACAATCAGAATAGAGCTCCTTGAAGTCTAATTTCAGTGTATCTTCATTATCGTTATTTATGTCATCTTTGTTTTATAATAGATGGAGCTATCCCAGCCATCAAAATTTCTACATATAGAAGGCGCTTGAATTCAGTAAATGAGGTAGATATCTGTGCTGTATGTTGTTTTCTCTCTTAAGAAAAGAAAAGAGGATAAAACTATCATTGATTATTCTTGACATGTTAAATCAAGACAGGTTACACAAGATGATGTAGACAGACACAAAGTTACATCCCTTCGAAGAAATATGGGTTCTGAATTTTCATGTATGATCAAAGAGGCAAAAATCCTGGGCAAGGCGCTTGGTATCCCTTGCTTAGATGGGTATGTTTATTGCTTTTTTTGTTTTTATTAGACAACATCAGATCTGGCTTTAACACTGAGTGTTAATATTTCAGCTAAAGATATTAAGGTCGCTTCTAGCTGGCTTACAGAGAATTTTTTCTTCCTTTGTTTACCCCTAGTTTTCTTCTTTCCTTCATGTTTTAAAATCAAACCAATGTTTAGATGTGTCTTTATATAATTATGATATCCAGTATTCACCAAATTATAAGAAAAAGATGGATGCAATTCTTTTGGAACTATATGTCACATTATGCCAAATGTCTAGCTCTTTTTGAATCCCCCCCCCCCCCTTCGTCCCCAAATTATGGAAATCAACCTTTTTATGACACTGTTAGTTTCATGGAAATAATATGGGATGATGTCAGCTATCAGTTGTGAATGTATTGGACTTTTTTATAAATTTGTTTTTAAATATATTTCAGGATTGAAGAAGCTGAAGCACAATGTGCTCTATTAAACTCAGAATCACTGTGTGTAAGTAGTAAACCCTTTTACTGGGGAGGAAGGGCAATCTCAATTGCTATAAGTTTGATGTCTCCTATGTTTATTTCAGGATGGATGTTTCACTTCAGATTCAGATGTCTTCCTTTTTGGTGCAAGAACTGTGTATAGAGAAATATGCCTTGGTGAGTGGTAAAATTTAAACTGCCTCTGATTTGTTTGATAAGAAGATGTACTTTACAACATATGTAATTTGTTTGATTAATGAATAGATAAAGGAGGATATGTAGTTTGCTACGAAATGAATGACATAGAGAAAAAACTTGGACTTGGAAGGCATTCACTGGTGAGTAATCTTAGCTTGGACATCAGTTCATCTGGTCGAGGAGTATGGCTCTAGTTGACGACTTAATTATCTTTCAGGTTGCCCTTGCCCTTCTTTTAGGAAGTGATTATTCTCATGGAGTTCGTGGGTTTGGACCTGTAAGTATGAAAACCTAAGTTAGCTTTCTTTAAGGTGGAGTTTGCAACTGTGCATCAGTTTCATTTAATGAAGCCTTAGAGTTTCATTATTTTTCACTTGGCTACAGGAATCGGCATGCCAGGTTGTTAGATCAATTAACGAAGATGTTGTTCTTCAACGTATTACTTCGGATGGTATATCTTACTTGACATCGTTAAAAACCTCAAAGAAACAAGGGAAAATATCTGAGCGTCGTGGGAAAGAGAACTTTCCAGATTCCCAAATAAAGGCTACTGGTAGGTCAAATTGACATTTAAAAGTTAACCATTGCATGCTTTATGCACCTGTTGTTCTGGATTACTAAGTATTTTAGCAAAAAGATGCAAACACTGAATAGCCTGAAACTTAGTAGAAATGTTGGTGCCTGTAGAAAAAGTATATTTGCAAATGGGAGTAGTGGATAAAACAGTGATAGACATAAATACTGGATTACAGATAGTGCTTTCCAAATTTGGAGTCTTGGCTTTCTTTTTACTTATATTATTTTTCCGGGTGTTGGTGGTGGTGTTCTGGGGAAGGTGACATACTTGCAAAAAGGTATGGGTGGCAAACTGGCAATAGCTAGTTAAGGATTTTTCTTATTCATGGGGAGGGGATGGTTACAGTCTTTCACAAGCACAGTTCCAAGGTATGATGGTTAATGGCATGTACTTCATTGAGAAAATCTCTCAATTTCATGATGTTTTTCCATGGTCAAACAAGACTTTCTATATATTATTTCCTCTTTCTCAGGTCATTTAGTTATTCAATGCTTGTCCCTTCATCTGTAATTTAATGTGCGAAATGCAAGCCGACAAACTTACTTTCAGCTGCATGAATTGTCATTGCCATTTTTTATTGGGACTTTCGACGTGGGTGTGTTTCAAAGTTTAAATTTTGACACACATTGTGTTGCTTTCCATAATAAATAAGTTATCGACCAATATATCTATGAGAAATCTTTGAATAGCTATTTCGTCATTTTCCTTCAGGAGATCAGCTCCCTCTAGAAAAAGATTATGAAGTTTTGCCGGTGATCGAAGCATATATGAATCCAAAGTGTCACTTAGCAGACTCCGATTCTGTGTACAGGTAATGCCTATATATTCCTGATACTGCTTTTATTTGATTGACTCAGTGGTACGGTTTTTTGTTTTTCTGTATTCTTAATTTATCCACTAGGTCAGTCTGGTTGGTTCTACAATTGTTAGGCACAAGTAAAATATTCTCACTTTTTTTGTTTTTTTTTAATGATCCAAGTATGAAATTGTAATCTATTTCATGCATAAGTGTCACATTTTTACTTAAATTTGAAGTTTGTAAAGGGGAGATATCTGAAGACAAAGTTAAGGGTACCTGTACGCAAAGTTTTCATTGTATTTGCTTCTTTTACCAGGGGAGGAGCAACTAGAGTTTGGACGTTATTATTTATAAATTATTTTGTTCATATGTTTCAGGGTCCTTGCTGTGCATCCTTTTAATCGTGCTGAGCTTCAGGAGCTTTGTTCTAGGTTCTTTGAATGGCCTCCTGAGAAAACAGGTTCTTGCTATTTCAGCAGATACTCGAATAAGTTTACTGTTTAGCAATATCATATTTGTGACAATTCTTTGTCTACTTTAGTAACTTTAGTAATGTGAGGAGACAATCAGTTGAAAATTTACACATTACAAAGTTATATCACCGTCAAAGTGATGATATGACTATAATTATAGCTTTTTTAAAATTTAGTGTTCAAAGATGTCTATCATCGTCAATCAAGCATGTGTCTAATGGTGTGGCTGGAAGCTATTGTTTTTATTCATCTAAATTGGCTAAATCTACTCTGGACTATGAAATTTGGAAAAATTACAGTCATGGATCGTCAGGTTTCCTGACTCAGATTGTCACAACCTTGTGGGAACCCTTGGGAGTATTAGTTTTTCATAGTCTAGGGTTCCTTCTAAAAAAACATGGCCAATAACAAATGAGATGTCCTTCATCATCATGTAGTAACTAGTTACCAACAGCTCTCTTGTCTTTCACTCTTATAAAGTTTGACGAATTTTACTGATCGTTTTCACTTAATTAATAGCTTCTGTAATGGACTCAGACCACTACTCTACTAACAGCTACTCAAAACAGAGAAAAACAGAACAAATGAGGGAGAAAGCGTCAAGCTTGGTTATATTCAACAATGGCAGTAAACAAGAGAACACAAAACTAATAGGTTTAGCCTACAACTCTCAACACTAGTAGGTTTAGCCTACAACTCTCAAATAGTGGGTTTAGCCCACAACACTCAGAGATAACTTTAATACAAAATGCCTGCCCTTAACTTTCCCCCTCTTTCATTTATATACACAAGCCCCCAGACTGATTTGGTGGCTGATGATTGCAATTTGTCTTCAAGTGTGATTTGTCTTGTTGTGCTCTTGATTGCTGATGTTTTCTTGTGCCTTCCTTTCTTCATGGGCCCGGTTATCAGTTGGGCCACGCCTCTTCCTTGCATAAGTGAACTTCACAGGCTGCTTGGCTCGGTCCATTGCAGCTTCTCAGTATTATCTTGCAGTTTCAAAATGAAACCTTCTACCTTTTTATTTCAAGATAATTGGTATATCATTGTTGAGATCATCCTTCTTTCGTTGAACCTATTTCAGACGAGTATATCCTTCCAAGGATTGCTGAAAGAGAACTGCGGAAGTTTGCTAATTTGAGGTTGTCTTCCTCACGGTTAGGAGCTGCACTTCCATTGGACACAGTAAGAGTTCTTTTATCTGATATATTGATAATCTGTTGCTCATTTTTTCTTTTGTGCCAAGGGTGTGGTGGGGGGATAGGTAATTTTTGTTACATAGTCATTCTCTCTGTAAGAAACTAGTCATTGAGAGACCATGATTTTGTCTTCTACATACATTGTGATGATATGATAGATCAACTCTGCTTTATCTTAGCATTGGAATACACAGATAAAATTGCCCTTTGGTCTTTGGACCGAAAAAGTTGCCAGCCTTAATGAGATACACTGTAAAAGTTAAGACTTCTTTTTATCTACATTGCAAGATAAATCTGGGAATATTGCTCAATAATACTATCTCTATATTTTATTAATTGCACCATTTATTTACGCGGTCTCCAGTGTGCACCTTTTAGCAGTTATACCTTTGAATGCACCACCCTTAGGATATGATTTATTTGATGCCAGCCATTGCTTTACCAGAAGAGTTTTATGTACAACAGTCTTTCTAGTATCTAGGTTTGCACCAAATGACAGTAGTTACCACCACTCCACCAGTGAGGACTAATAAGATACGCATCATGACAAATCTGATAAGATGTGATTAAGATCGTGTGTTTGTTGAAAAAAGTCATAATCCTCGAAACACTTCTCAGAATTCTGGTTTTAACTTTATTTATTCATTTATTTTTTATTTTGCCTATCCCATTGACAGATGCCTGTAAAATGTCCTATTTCTGAAGTTCGCAAGCACAGAAGAGTACAAGGTAAAGAATGCTTTGAAGTTTCATGGGAAGATTTTGATGGCCTTGAAACTTCCGTAGTACCAGCTGATCTTGTACGGAGGTAGTAATTAAATATTAGCTTATCTATTCGTTCTTTTTTAATTTTATATGTCTGTTGCATCGTGGTTCAGTTGCATTGCTGCAGTAATTAGTAATGACCATCACATTTCTCCTACAGTGCTTGTCCTGAGAAGATTGCAGAATTTGAGGAAAGAAAAGCTCAAACAAAGAAGCAGAATCGCCGTAAAGTAAGGCCAAAGAAATCAGATGACACGGCTTCTATGGCTAAAGTTGATGCAAAACTCCAAAGCCTGCTACTCGACATTGAGTCTAAGGACAATGCTGGATCCAAATCAATCTCAGATCATAACAGTTGTAAACCAAAGAGATCCGAAGACATAGCTTCTGGAGGTGGCCTGTGGGCCGGGTCAGATCCAGCCCACTCAATGGGTGGGTCGTGTGTGGAACTTTTAATCCACCAGTTGAATACCGTTGGAAATGTTGATCATAGAACTGAAAGCCCGCTAATCGACGTTGATTCTGAGGACAATGCAAGATACAAACTAACCTCGTGCAATAGCTCATCCACATCAGTAAGCAGCATTGAAGACTTAACGATTTCTGAAACAATTTTGGATGAAGAATATGAGAGCAACATTGTTAATAATAATACTAGTGTGGATCACCAATCAGATCGTCCAACTAGTATGGAAACTGATGTGATCGATCTCTTGAGCCCATCTCCGGTACCAATGACACGCTATGTGTCAAAATGTCAAGGTAATGTAGAACTAGTTAATGTTATTGATCTGAGTGACTCATCGGACATGGAAATATCACCTGATCATGCTCAGAAAGCACAAGAGCTCAGACAATTCCTGAGCAGCATCAGAGAAGATTTATCTTGAAACCAATTTATCTTAGCTCTATGTATCCATATTTGTATCGATATGAGCTTTGTTCAATAGTCTTTAGGCTAGCTTCTTCTGATTAATTGTAATTTGGGCATATTCGTTGTGAAGCTAATATGCCATTTGGCTATTTTTCTTACAAGCTTTTTCGCACCACTGCTCCTTACTGTAACTGTTAAGATATATATGTATATATTGTGATTAGTCAAAGTGTATAATTTAGTTACCTATTTTGTAGCCTAGTTTAAGGGATTTGATATCTCTTGTAAATTGTATATAATGCTATTGAAGCAATGAATATAATCACGGAATATAATTCCTTCATGGTATCAGCAGTCTAGGGCAATTTCCGCTGCACCCTAGTGTTGTTCCGCCATCCTTTCTCTTCTACCTTTTTTTCTTCTTCTTCTCTATTTGCACAGTAACAATGTCGGACTCCAAGAATTCGTTTCATCCGGCCTTTACTGTTTCTAATATCAAAAACAACATCCCCATAACCCTTGAAATGGAGAATGTTGAATACTCTACTTGGGCGGAATTATTCAAAATTCACGCTCGATCTCACAAGGTTCTCAACCATATTATTGCTTCAAAGAAGAAGGTTGCCGCACCTTCAACCGATGAGGAAAAGGAGCTATGGTCGACATTGGACGCAACTGTTCTTTCGTGGATCTATGCCACAATTTCTAAGGACCTTTTGCACACCATCATTGAATCTAACTCAACGGCAATGGAGGCTTGGAATAGGTTGCGTGATATTTTCCAAGACAATTAAAACTCCCGTGTCGTGACTCTTGAACACGAGTTTTCTAACACCAATATGGAGGATTTCCCTAATGTTTCGGCGTACTGTCAACGGCTTAAGAGCCTCTCCGATCAGTTGAAGAATGTCGAGCACCGGTGGATAATAACCGACTTGTCCTTCAATTCAATTGGTTTCTGATCTCACGGAACCGTACACCGGTGTTGCTACTTTGATTAGGCAGAGTAGCCCTCTTCCTCAATTTTACCAAGCTCGTTCAATGCTCACATTGGAGGAAGCTGGCTTGGCAAAACAGGCGGCTACAACGTCGGCTTCGGCTATGGTGGCGAGTGTTCCTCGAGATTCTGCTAATTCAGGGGGTGATTCACGGGCTTCTCGTTGCAAAAAAAAAAAAAAAAAACAGGGGGTTGTAAGCAGTCAGGCGGTGGTGGTCGTGGCTCCGGTACTAGCGGTCAGAATTCCAGTGGTGGTGGTCGCGGTGTCCCTGGCCTGCAGCAGCAGCAGTGTAACACCTCCAAATCTCCTTCTACGGAAATACTAGTATAATACGTATAATTATACCGTAGAGATAAACTTAGGCGTATTACTGCTGCGTGATTACGCAAGGCTACTCAAAATACTTAACTCAATAACAAACTTGCAGAGGAAAACTCAACTCTTCTTTTATAAATACTTATAAAATAGTAATAACCATTGTCAAGAGTACTCAAAAATAGAAACAAAGACCAACATTCCCAACTAGGTGAAGAATATCTCGGGTTTCCCAAATGCTCATTTATTAACTCCACCTGAAAATAGTTAACACTGCTTACCATTAAGGTAAACAGGGCGAATCAAAACAAATAGGAAATACGAAGTAGCAAAATATGCTAAGTACGATAAGTGCAAGATAAGTAAACTCAATTTATTTGCAAATATGCTTTTAAAACCAATTCCAATAATAAATCCAATAATTCCAAACTCATAAATTCAAAACCAATTCTCAAGATTCTCAAACAATTCCAAAAACTCAATAATAATTTGAATAATAATTCAAGTGATAAAACCAATTCCTTTTTAAAAATCCAATTCCTCTCCTAAGTGTGCACACCCCCCAAGTTAGTATCTTTGTATTGAAAGGATATTCTTGAGGAAAGACTAGGTCATACAAAGTCCATAGTCTTCAATGAATCCGCATAGTGGGTTTAATATAATAATAATGCTTGTAAAACTTTTAATAAATAATCCAATAATTCTCATGAAATCCCTCTTTTGAATAAAATCAAACTTTATAATAGATTAACTCAAAAACTCCTTTTGTATTTAATTCTACAAGCTTTTAAAATCAAACATTTTTAAAAACTCTTTGAATCAATCCAACATACTTTTAAAAACCAAATTCCTTTAAACATAATAAATAATTTCAAACCATTCAAAACAAGATAGAAATCCATAATCAAACATATTTATTAAAATATGAATTCTCAAGGTTAATTTATAAATCATAATTCAAAACAATTTAATTAAAATCACAGAAACATGCTTATTAATTCAACAATTTCGAAGGTATCTAGCCACCTAAACGTACCTTGATTCCGAATCTTAATCAACACTTTGCACTTTCAAAGTACAGTCACGAATACACCTTGCAATTAATATAACCATAAGGTTATCACAACATCTTTAGATATAAACCCAAATCTAATGTACGTGGACTATAAAACTCTTTAAAAATAATACTTTAATATAAAATTATAGCTTTGAAATAAGTTTTTATATTTCACAAAACTAACCATGAAGAAAATAAAGGAATAGGATTAAAGAGAATTGAATTTGCGTTGGAAAGAATAGGCAGAACTTGCAGAGGCTATAACTTCTTCAATATAACTCCGAATTGGGTAATTCTTCATCCTAACTTCAAGTATTTTTCAATAGGAACATTTTTTGTGAAATAGAAAAATCCCAAAAATGACCAGAATTACCCGAATATTGGCTTCAAAGATATACGGGCTTATTTTCTTGTAGAAAAGAGGAGAAGAAAAGTAGGAAAAGGTTGAGGGAAAAGAAGAGTAAGAGAGAAGAAAAGAATTGAGTTTTTGGTGTGAAGAATATGAGAGATATTAGAGGGTAATTATAGGCTCATAAATGAAAGAATTAAGGTAAGATTTTGTAGGAAGAATTATGGTAAACTTAGTTTAAGGAATTACTTGGAAAAGAGAGTTAAAGAATTTAGGAAAGTCTAGTTATGGTGAATAAGAAAATGAAGAAATAAAGTAAGTATGTAGTCATGAAATATTAAATGGCTTTGCTTGGGGAATAATCAAATAAATTGTATGATCAAATCTTTGTGAGATGGAGAATAGGAATTAAGGAATTTAAGGAAGATAATTAAATTACAATACTAAAAAAATAATTAACCCAAAATTAACATACATAGGGTGGCCGAAAATATTGAGCATTCCATGCTCATATTTTCGGACCTCCACTACTAGTTTTAGGAAAATATTTGCTAGGTTATAAGGATTAAAAACGATTGTGTAAATAATATATATATTTTGTAGAAAATAAATAATTAGAAAATATTAAATTAAAACTAACTTAATTAACTAATAAAAATCAGCTTTTCTACACTTAGAAAATCCGAAAATCTCATTAATTAATTTAGGAATTTCGTCCCTTTAATTTATAAATAAGAAATATAATTTTTGTTAATAAAAATATCCGAAAAATATATATATAATTCGGTTTTTATTAAAATAAATAGATAATAAATCTTATCCAAAATAAAAAATAATCATTGAGTTTTGAAAATGTTGTTGGCGCCAAAATTCAAATATCATTTTGGTTCCAAAATTCAAGTGGTAAAATAAATTACTAAATTACCCTTTTTAGAAAATACTAATTAATTAATTAATTGAAAAATACATTTCAAAAATACGGGGTATTACAAGCAGGGCTGGTCTGCTCCCCCACCATGGCAGCAGTAGTACCAGCCTTGGGGTTGGGTTCTTCAATGGGCAACCCCATCTTGCCCATACCCCAACCAAGGTTAGGCTCATCCTCAGGGCCCAAAGAAGCAGCAGCAGTCCGGCCTCTTAGGCCCACGCCCACAACATGCTTATGCGGCTTCACAATAATCCATGCCTTATGCTCCGACGGATATTGAATCGGCTATGCACACCATGACATTGAACCAACCCGATCCCTCGTGGTACATGGACACCGGTGCAACCTCGCACATGACATCCTCCAACGGTAATCTCTCGTCTTATTTTAATTTGAGCATTCATCATAAGGGTATTGTTGTTGGTAGTGGTCATACAATTCCAATTCGTGGTTGGGGTCATACTACTTTGCCTTCCTCGTTCCCTCCTTTGTCCCTTTCTAATGTCCTACATGCCCCTAAACTCATTAAGAGTTTGATTTCTGTTCGAAAATTAACAACTGATAACTGTGTGTCTGTTGAGTTTGACCCTTATGGTTTTTCTGTGAAGGATTATCGGATGGGGATGCCAATAATGAGATGTGATATCCAAGGAGACCTTTATACACTCACTACCACTTTCTCACGTTCTTCTTCATCAACCTTTACAGCTTTAGCATCTTCTCTTTGGCAAGATCGTTTGGGACATCCGGGGTCTTTTATTTTAAAGGCTCTTAGTATTAATAAAAGCATTGCATGTAATCACTCTTCTAGCTCTAGCGTTTGTCATTCTTGTGTACTCGGAAAACACATTAAGTTGCCTTTTATTTCTTCTAATTCAACTACTTCTATGCCATTTGACATTGTTCATAGTGATCTTTGGACATCTCCCGTTTTAAGTTCATCGGGGCATCGATATTATATGCTTATATTGGATGATTTTTCTAAATATTTGTGGACTTTCCCGTTAGCCAAAAAAATCGGATATTTTTGATAAAGTCATAGCGTTCCAACCTTTTATTCGGACCCAATTTGAACGACCTATTAAAACTTTTCAATGTGATAATGGGAGGGAGTATGATAACGGACCTTTTTGGGCTTTGTGTGAGTCAAATGGAATGTAATTTCGTCTTTCTTGTCCACATACGTCATCACAAAATGGAAAGGCCGAGAGAAAAATTAGATCATTGAATAATATTATTCGCAGTCTTCTTGCTCATGCATCATTACATCCATCTTTTTGGCATCATGCATTGCAAATGACAACTTATCTTCATAATATTCTTCCGAGTAAGTTACTAGAGTATAAGTCTCCTCTCCAAGTTCTTTACCAAAGGGAACCGTCTTCTTCTCACTTACGTGTCTTTGGGTGTTTGTCTTACCCCTTATTTCCGTCCACTGCTATCAATAAGCTTCAACCTCGATCTACACCATGTGTTTTTTTGGGGTATCCGTCGAATCATAGGGGTTACAAATATTATGATTTGTCTTCTAATCGGATTTTCATAAGTCGACTTGTCTTGTTTGATGAATCAATGTTTCCCTTTGCTAGGTTACATATACCTACTCTCACACTTATGATTTTTTAGACGAGGGACTAACTCCATTTGTGATTCACCATATGTATTCACCTAGCTCGTCTGGGCAGCCAATCACCGACCACAGCTGACTGGGCAGGCTCCCCCTACCAGCCAAGCTGCGGCT